CAGCACTCATAAAATCTGCGATCATTTACTGCATCTTCATCAGCGAGACAGACAAATTTGCACATCATCTTACATGGAGGGAATTGGGGGGAAAAAAAATCTCGTCTGCTGCACATGTTTCATTACAAGACATGATGAATAATTTTAATATGAGATATATAATGTGATAATAACAATCTATTTGTATCAGCAAAACTAAAACAAGAGGGCTAAGATGGCCATAGATCGCTCACCTGACCAATCTCATCTGAGCAATTACTTAGACAAGCATCCTGACCAAGTTTGATGACAATTAAATTGAGTCAAAAATGTGACCTCTAGAGTGTTAACAAGGTTTTCCAGCATCCTGACAAAATTTGATGATGATTAAGGCAAAAATGTGACCACTAGAGTGTTAACCAACAAATGTGGATGGACGACGGACAACAGACATTCAACGATGTGAGCTAACAAAAAAACTGGCCCCGGGGCCCACCCCTACCAACTCCAGAGTTGCCACAAAAAGTGAAATGAAATAATATTCAAAAATCAGATATCAAATCGTGTACTCTGCTTTTTCCATTAATGATACAAATAAAACAAAAATCATAGTAAGTTAAGATCTGATCTAGAAAACAGATCATTGTTACATACAGTCTGCAATATCAATAAATGACATTGTTTTGCCAGCCCAATTAAAAGATTCTTCTATAACTGCCAAAGATTGTGACATTACAGGTCAAATGTTATCTTTTTTTCTCCCCAAGTACCTTTGGCCTGGCTGGCTATTATCCTTGAAGTTACGAAGTTATTCATCAACCAAACAGAAATTTCATTCTGTAACTTGCTGGGCTCGGCAGTCAATTAAGAAAACAAGTGATTCCATTATGCATTAAACCAAACAGAAATACCAGGAAAAAGCATAATCCTGATAGGTGACAATATTATAATGTTATACTGTTACATGGTTAGAAATTTAGAGGTTTAACCCTTATCCCATGTCAGATTTCTTACAGGACTTGTCTATCTTTAAATTTGGCCAAAACCATTTGTCATTTTTAAGGGAAATTTCAAAATAAGTACTGACTGAATAGCAAACATTACAGACGGCACTTTCTGATCTTGCCCTCCATTGGTTGATTCAGTTGCCCCCAGAGAGCTAACGGTTAACATATAAAATTACCAAATAAGTCGCTATTGCTGCTAAAACTCCACCAGTAGTAGAATGTGACAATGTAAAACGAAGCAAGACATAAGTGAAGTCAGAAGAATAAATTCGTGTAAGAATGATACTGACAAACAAAGTGCTGGTGCTATAAGAGGAAGAAATCTTTAAATGACAATTTTACAATGCTAGTGTGGTCAGAGAAAGAAATTCTAATGACAATGTTTCACAATGGGAAGAAATTCTTATATTACAACACAATTTTTCTAGTGTTGTTTAGAAAGAAATTTCTTACTTGACAATGTAACAATGATAGTGTTATCAGAGACAAACCTCTGATATGACAATGTAATAATTGCTCGTGTTGTCAGAGACAAAAACCCTGATATGACAATGCAACAATGATAGTGTTGTCAGACACAAAACCCCTGATATGACAATGTAACAATGATAGTGTTGTCAGAGACAAAAACCCTAATATGACAATGTAACAATGATAGTGTTGTCAGAGACAAAAACCCTGATATGACACTGTAACAATGATAGTGTTGTCAGAGACAAAAACCCTGATATGACAATGTAACAATGATAGTGTTGTCAGAGACAAAACCCTGATATGACAATGCAACAATGATAGTGTTGTCAGAGACAAAACCCCTGATATGACAATGAAACCATGATAGTGTTGTCAGAGACAAACCTCTGATATGACAATGTAATAATGATAGTGTTGTCAGAGACAAACCCCTGATATGACAATGTAATAATGATAGTGTTGTCAGAGACAAACCTCTGATATGACAATGTAATAATGATAGTGTTGTCAGAGACAAAAACCCACATATGACAATGCAACAATGATAGTGTTGTCAGAGACAAAAACCCTGATATGACAATGTAATAATTGCTCGTGTTGTCAGAGACAAAACCTCTGATATGACAATGCAACAATGATAGTGTTGTCAGAGACAAAACCTCTGATATGACAATGCAACAATGGTAGTGATGTCAGAGACAAAAACCCTGATATGACAATGCAACAATGATAGTGTTGTCAAAGACAAAACCCCTGATATGACAATGTAACAATGACAGTGTTGTCAGAGACAAAACCCTGATATGACAATGCAACAATGACAGTGTTGTTCGAGACAAAACCCTGATATGACAATGCAATAATGATAGTGTTGTCAGAGATAAAAACCCACATATGACAATGCAATAATGACAGTGTTGTCAGACACAAAAAACCCTGATATGACAATGAAATAATGCTAGTGTTGTCAGTGACAAAACCCCTGATATGACAATGCAACAATGACAGTGTTGTCAGACACAAAAACCCCGATATGACAATGAAATAATTGCTAGTGTTGTCAGAGGGAGAGATCTAAAATTTTTTCAAAGAAATGATTCAAATGTCAGCAATAGAAATAGCGTGCAATGTGTCACTGAAGTAAACACAGTTGTTGGCATTTCCCCAAAAATCCGTACGTGACAAGGTTTTGATCTCGAATAACGACCAAAATTTAGAGACAGGAAAATGCAGTAGGGAAAGTATTAGGAGTCTGAAAGGAAGCAATGAAAGTGGCCATGTAAATATTTCATTCTATAACAGTAACACACTTTCATTAGTTATTCTGAGAACATCATGGCAAGATAAACAACTAATTCAATTGAGCTCATCACTTGATTTCCACAATTATTATGACATACTATGAATAATTTATTCATTCCCAACATCAAGTGAAACAAGTAAACTGAAATAATGCTTAGCCTGGGGCTGGATTTTGAGTACTTACAAAACATCTCGTATGTTATCAAAACTGCTGTTTTGTGGTGAGAAATTTTGGCTTTAGCAATATAAGGGACAATGTCATTTCATTTGGCAATTCTTGGCAAAAACAGGCCTTTGAATTTTTTCTTATAGGGTATCACAATGAAAATTTCCGAAGTTTGTGTTAGCCAAATGGTAATTAGAATCTGGTAAAAGTGTTTAGAAATACCAGCTGGGCGGACTTCATACTGGTGGCAAAGACTTTGGTGTTTTAAGATTCAGCATTTAAAATGGTTGAGCTGTTTCTGTAACTGTAAAATTAAAGCTGCATGCCTCCAGATGACCCAAAATATTTCAAGAAAATTAAACTTGGAAAATCATACTAAAACTTTGAGAAAAGTAAACAAATTAAAGATTCAAGTGCTAATTTATATCTTATGTGCAATTAATGACTGTATTTTGTAGTATTTATCACTATATTTCTACTGCAGTAGGGGCTATTTATGCATGTTTTGACCTCTTTTTGGTAATTTACGTGGATTTTAAGTGCCGATTGTAATGTATCATGTACTTTCCTTGTTCATTTCACAATATTTTATCTTTAAATACATTTTCAAAATTTTCATGAAAATTAGGATGAATCTGGAGGCGTATGTGGAAAATAGAGGAAAAGAATACTGGTTTGATTTTGAGCTTGAAAACAAGCCATGAGCAAAATAATGTCAAAGACCGAGAGAAAGACATTAAATTTGGAAGCCATGAGCAAAATAATGTCAAAGACCAAGAGAAAGACATTAAATTTGGAAGCCATGAGCAAAATAATGTCAAAGACCTAGAGAAAGACATTAAATTTGGAAGCCATGAGCAAAATAATGTCAAAGACCTAGAGAAAGACATTAAATTTGGAAGCAATGAGCAAAATAATGTCAAAGAACGAGAGAAAGATGTTAAATCTTGGTCTGTCATAAAGGAACCTGTCTGATGTTAATGACAGTTAATACTATGATCTGTAAGACATAAATCTGTTACTTTTATATCCACGGAGATTTGACAGCGAATTTCCTCGATGATTTTCCATCTAACGGTCTCCAAAATGCCGGACTGTCACATATTCTTGTTTACTACATTTATAAGAAAGAATTTTTGCCATTATACCATTTTATCCAGAAGTGTTTGCTTGACATTTTTGAGGTACTTTATTTAGCAAGAAATTCTCATTTTGCTTCATATGACCGATACTCTTGGTTATGACAACTTCATAATTTCTTACATTAACTTTCTCTCCCATAAAGTTAATGTGATAGTTCTTCAAAGAGTCTGAGACTGAGCCTGTACTATATTAAGCCACAATAATGGTCAACTTATTGTACTTGATAAAAAACTCTTTTGGTTGCCTGAAAGGGTATTAGCTGGCTATATTTGACAAAACATTTTCAATAAAATGTTTAACATTCCATTAAGAGCCACTGCAACACTCGACCTTTTTTCTTTTTCTTGCAGCAAACAAATAAAAGGTTTAAACGGATCAAATAAATTACCTTTTCCCATTTTTCTTAATTTCTTAATTTCAATAGGTAGGTCTTAAGTTGCACTAGTTGTTTTGTTCAAGTAAAATTCATTACCATTATTCTTGACATCTGAAACTGCAAAATTGTCCAAATTGATACAAGTATGAAACACAATTATTCTTCAATTCTTCAAATATAAATTTTTTTCGATAAATCTCATAGTGTTCTTTCAATCTATTTCAGTGACAACCTTCACAATAGCTGTCCAGTTTCCAAAAATTTATTTCGCCATATAGTATTAGTGTATTACCTGGAAATCAAAATACTACTGGCTTAAAATTTGGCTACTTTTGTGGCAAATTATTTCACTTTCAGGAATATTTTCTACAGGCAATCATCTTATAGACTATCATTTCATCATTATCAAAACATTTTAAAACACAATGTTTCCACTTTCTAACAATCATCAATTGTATTTCTTCTCGAGGCTTAATGTACCTTTAAGTATGTAAAAAATGAAGCAAGTTTAAATTTGTAATCAATTTGGTGAACAGATTTATAGCTAACTTACCATAAGCTCGTGTAATTTCGACTCCCAGGCAGATGAGTAATACATTCCGGTGCTTGCCGGCCGGTCCATACCATTGCGCCGGCTATGATACAAATCTCTGTGATTCTCCGCCATTTTTATTCCAAATCGTAAATAATTATCATATACTAATTAAACATTCCCAAACAAACAAATAACTTGACGTAGTAATACCTTAAGTTCTTAACATAACAAGACACTTGTAAAAGTTTGATAATTCCTACTTTCTTTTATTACATCTGCATCTTTCAGTTTAACAATTTTCAAATTATTCTTAGAACTAATGGCATCACATTCTTCAAGCCTTTATCCATTTTATTCCTCTAAATCCTGTATCAATCTCATTCCATTATTTATTTCCTTCACAATATTTCACTCAGCAATTTTTTTTTTTCCGTATATTTTTATTTCGATGAAAGGCAATTTCACCTTATTCAATATTACAAATTGTCTTGATAAATCCAGATTCAATTTGTCGGCATAATTATCAATCTTTCCCTTAAACACATCCCATATACCTCCTGCTAAATCTATATAATCAAATTTCCTCCCTACAAAATCGTGTGTAATTCTGATATCTGTATAATATCTGTATATATATTATATATATATATATAATTATGACAAAGAAAAATTCTCCATACAGAATCTAGGGTATATACTTATATACAATTAAGAAAAAAAAAAATTTCCTTGGTACCAAAAAAAGTGTACCCAAATCAGCTATCGCTGTGTATTTAATCAATTTCCCTGATCAAAAGAAAAAAACTCGCCTATCTGGAAAAACCATGCCTCTGAATGTAAGAGCAAAGTTTACAATAATGTTTGACAGAGCAAACTAGTTTATATCATAAAGAGCAGGGAAAAAAAATGCAATACACCCTGCTTCCTTGCTTCTTCCTATCTAACCAACAGTCACAGATAGAGAGAATGTTTCATACCATCAGTAGGGGATCTTCATTTACCCTATGATAATTTATTATCTCTTCACTTTTACCTACTACTTGAAGTCATAGAAGTAAAAGAATTATCTTTTTTTAACGAAGAAAAATTACATACTTAGTCAAATCTGGATGAATTTTTCATAGATTTTGACAAAGTTTATTTGAATATTGGAAAAATAAAACATTGTTACATTAAACACAATCAATAATAATCAAATTTTAATTAAACATGCCTATTACGTATATCTATGCTAACAGTTACTGTTTTAATAATAAAATTTTAATCTTTGCTATATTGTTACAAGATACTGTTTCATTTAAAAAAAAATTAAATCTGAAAAAAAAAAAAGCTACCGGAAGAGGTAAAAAAATCTTCAACATGTTTAAGTCCCCTAATTGTAATAACTATCATTTTCTCTCAAATGAGTCATAATAAAATCCTATTACCATTCCCTAACCCCACCCTAACCCCCCCCCCCCCCCCACCCTGCTCCCCGCCTTATTTTACACCACACAAAGGTCCTTTATACAACTTTCCTGTTCTGTTTCAACTTACAAAACAGGCTCTTTCCAGATTCTACGCCAAAGTTTAAAAAAAACAAACAACAGATTTTATAAAAAAAAAATTTCAAACCAACTTGTAACTCAAACCATGTAACAGTTGATCAGTTTTATTTCTAATCATTGTTTAAAATTAACAAAATTAATTTCTTTTCATAAAAGCTGATTGTGTAAACATAAAAAAAAACATGATGAAAATAATATTAGCAAAAAAATTTTTCGAAACGAGTAATTACAATAAATTTCATTTTATAATTGACAAAAAGCTCTTGAGTTTTCAATTTTAATTTTAAAAGCATTTCTTGATTCAATTGTGATATTTTTTCCCCTACGATCATATCAAGAGGAAAATTCTAATTTATGATCAAAATTTTATGGCATTTTAAGTTGTAAAATCACATCTTATTCTTTCCTTAGGGTTGTTTAAGTGCATAATTTAACAAAATTATCAGTTTTGAAACATGCTTGATCGAATAAGCAAATTAAAAGTTCAATTCTGATCGCTATTTAGCAAAAACTGAAGTTTATTATAATAACGACTTTATTTAAAGAGGCAACATAGTTCGCAAGCCCAGTCTTCCCTATGAGTCGTTAAATCAATTGTAACATCATCTTTACAAGTAATTCACCATTCAGGCAATATCATTATCTAATTATACAATCCAACTTCTGAAACTTTAACTAAACTAATTCACTTTTTCTTTTTTTAAATATTTCGTTAAATTCACTGCAAATTATTTATATTCACACAGCTGCATTGTTTCAGCAGTCCATTTCACTTCTCAATTGACCACATTTTTTTTCCGCACTATTTTCTCCGCATAGTTTTCGTATTTTTCCTCATAATCGAAACAATTTTCATAAGTAAGCTATGTGTCATTATGCGTCATTATATAGTTAATATAAAAACCTGAATCAGAATCAGTCCACCATAGTTTACTATCACTTTATACCTTTCAATAATTCTCATTTTGCTCAATTTACTCCCTTATACCTTTGTTTGGTGAAGCACTTAAAAGAATAACAGTCAACCTTTTAACATTTTCTAATAGATTCCCATTGATTCTCCACATACACCAACCGAAAATGGCAAAAGCGGTAACTTTTGTTTTTTATCAAAGCGATCAAGTATCTAAAACTTATGGGAAAAAAGTTTAAACCGGATTGATACCTTGGAATGTATAAGCATTTTTCAATTACTTTTTAACATTTTCAATTACTTTTCAACTTGGCCGAAAAAACTTGAGATATTTGCAAAGTAACCCACCCGCCCCTTTCTTAATTGAGTCTACCATGAACAATAACGCCATTTTTAACCCTAGTAAATGATACCAAATTGCCGAAAAATGACTCAATGATTGCTTATTTGTTAAAGTCTTCACTTAACCAAATAATCTAAAGATGGTGTATTAAGCTTTCGATTTCAAAAATCAAGATTTTATTGAATTTCAGCAAATTTGCAATTTTAGAGCAGTAGAAATGAAAGAGATATACAGTCTAGCAAATTAATGCATTCTTCTATTCATTTAATACAAAAATGAAGTAAAATGTCAAACATATTCTTGAAACATTAAATTGTGAAATTGTAAATTTTTAATATCATGAATTTATTTCATATTTTCTTCTTTATTTATGAAAACAAACAAACAAGAAAATCAATTTTATATGCTTGTAGAATTAATGATTTACCTTTACCTCTCTTTAACATATTAAACTTATTATCTCCTTAAGAATAGTGAAAACTTATTACCTCCCTTCAACATAATAAACCTATAGCCTCCCATTAACATATACTTATATCCATTTTAACATAAAAAAACTTATAGTGTCCCTTTAATATAATAAACTTATAGTCTCCCATTAACATATAAAACTTACAACCAAACATATAAAACTTATTACCTCCCTTTAACATAATAAACTTATAGCCTCCCATTAATATATAATAAGCTTATAACCATTTTAACATATAAAACAAGAAACATGGCAATGCCATGAAACCAGGTTTTCAATTATCACCATTGTAGATAAATATGTTGTATTTGAAATACAAATACAAGCAACAAACAATGTAACTATGTGCAATGTAAAACATGAATAATGTAGGAGGAATTGCGCACAGAAGAAGTGTTCACTATATATATTCTGTATAAGGAAAAAAAACAAAGGGCCATAATTAGGTAAAAAATTATCCAATCACAAAACCCCGACAATATGTGCTAGGGCACTTGATGACAAAGCTTCTGTGAAAGTTTGAACAAAATCCGTTGAGAAATGTAGGAAGAGTTCAGCACAGAAGAATTTGTTCAATTCTGTATAAGGAAAAAAAACAAAGGGCCATAATAAGGTCAAATATTATCCAATCACAAAACCCTGACAATATGCGCCAGGGCACTTGATGACAAAGCTTCTGTGAAAGTTTGGTCAAAATCCATTGAGAAATGTAGGAGAAGTTGCGCAATGTAGAAATTGTTCACTATATATTCTATATAAGAAAAAAAAACAAAGGGCCATAATTAGGTCAAATATTATCTAATCGCAAAACCCCGACAATATGCGCCAGGGCACTTGATGACAAAGCTTCTGTGAAAGTTTGGTCAAAATCCGTTGAGAAATGTAGGAGGAGTTGCGCACAGAAGACATTGTTCACTATATATTCTATATAATGAAAAAAAACAAAGGGCCATAATTAGGTCAAATATATACCAATTGCAAAACCCTGACAATATGTGTCAGGGCACTTGATGAAAAAGCTTCTGAGAAAGTTTGGTCAAAATCCGTTGAGAAATGTAGGAGGAGTTGCGCACAGAAGAAATTGTTCACTATATATTCTATATAAGGAAAAAAAACAAAGGGCCATAATTAGGTCAAATATTATCTAATCACAAAACCCCGACAATATGCGCCAGGGCACTTGATGACAAAGCTTCTGTGAAAGTTTGGTCAAAATCCGTTGAGAAATGTAGGAGGAGTTGCGCACAGAAGAAATTGTTTACGCCCGCCCGCCCGTCCGCCCGCCCGCCGACATACGTCAATCTAATAACCAGTTTTTTCCTTCGGAAAACCTGGTTAACTAATTACCTCCCTTTATCATAATAAACTTATAGCCTCCCATTAACATATCAAACTTCACTTAACTGTATGTTACATCCTTAATTACAACATAAAGAATCTTTAAACTTAGTACCCAACCTAGTATCATATTGAATTTATTACCTTCTTTTAACATCTTAAAACTTATTACCTCCCCTTTCTTACATAGATTCTTTCAAACTGCTACGTACAAGATCATTATAAACACATTTTTTTTTTTTTGCTTCTGTAGAAATATTCACATCTTTTGATCTTAAGGAATTTAATTAAGTAACTCTGAAAATTTAATTCAGCTTGCTATCCCTGCAATAGAATTGTTTTAAAAAAAAAGAATTACTAAAGAGAAAAATATCGTCACATTATATGGAAGAGTGCAGGCGCTATTATTACGTTACAAGCAGGAATCATATTAAATCAAGTCGCATTACAGAGAACCTCTTTGATGTTTGTTTTTTAACTCTTTGAGAGAACATCCACTTTAGAATGAATTGTCACACAAGCCTTTAATGTTTAATAGTTGAACCATTTTTCAGGCCATTTCAGCTGACAAATAAATTGTTTTCCAGGCAATTTGTTTTTTTCCGAGGGCTGTTGTTTATTCGCCTGTTGTCAGTAATGGCGGAAGACCTTTTTTCCGATCATCATTTGATATTCATCAGACTGCCTTCATTGTGAATAATTAATGGTATGTTACTTAAAGCTTTATAGAGTTAATGTAAAATAATGAAAGGTTGGATACAGTGAAACTCTATAATTCTGCACCTTTTTATTTAAGAGTTCTCTTTTACAGTTAACAAGTTACCGGTGACCCTTTTGCTTATCCCTTACACTCCTGAATTTCTTAACTGGACTATAAATAGTCAATAAACAATTTAAGGAATATCAAAATGAAAATTTGGTCAGCCAATATTACAGAGTCTGGTCAGACTGCACGGAAGTACAGGCTTGACTGCCACTGTTGGC